CGACGGGGAATGGCGGCCGATCACTGATGAACAGTGAAACCGGCGGCGGAATTCCCGGCGGACGGCGGCGGGTGTACGGGACGGTGAACAGTACCCCCGTACGGACGGCGTGACCAGTACCACCCCGTACGGTCACACTGTACGGACGACTGGGAAAACGGTGGCCGGCGAGGCGCCGGTCACGGCGGCGACGGCCGTACGGTATGGATGAACAGTGACCGCACGGACGATGAACAGAATCGTACGGTCACACATGCGGACCGGCTGAACGGCGACGTATGGACATGTCGAGCAGCCGGGTGTCGACGGAACAAGGATCGGAGCTCCGCGAAGCTCCGTGACTGCTCACAGAACGTAAATTGAGAAAAAGAGAGAAAAGAGGGAAAAAGAGGGGGAAAGGGAGAGAGAAATGGACGGAACCGAGGCTGAGCTGTGGCGGGGGACCAAGGGCGTCGACGGCGAGGCACGGCGGTCGGCGGCGTGCTCCGGTAGCCAACGGCAAGCTCCGGCAAGGCAAAATCAAGAGAGAAAAAGAAGAGGGGGAGTGAGCTACGGAGGAGAGGGAGCTGTTCTGGCCAGAATGAGGGTGAGAGGAGAGAGAGAGAGAGTTTATCTTGGTCAAACATCTAGACTAGGGGTGCCAAGTGTCAAAAATCAAGCCAATGTGACCATTTTACCCCTCATCCAATGGTTCACATTAGATCTTATCCAATAATTCATGGGCACTTAGGTCTTTTATTGCCATAATTAAGATAAGTCCAAATTTAATTAATTTCCTTAAAATTTTCCCAAAATTCGGAACCAAAAATGGCCTAGGGGCAAAACCGTCATTTTTCCGGTCCCGAACCGAAATTTCAATTTTCGCACATACGCGTTCCATATATGCGTGGCCAACATAATATGGCGTCGGAATCGCGAAATTCATCGCGCAAGCCCTCGAAAATCCACGTCAAAGTTTCGGGAATAAAATAATATTATTTTTCCAATTTTTGTCGAAATTCCAGTTTTTGTCCAAAATGACTCCTGGTAAGCGTGGCCACCCAAAAATGGCATCGGCCACGAAAAATAACCTCATTTGGCCTCGAAAAGCGACGCTGGCATCCCGGGGGCAAAATCGTAATTTTTCACCCCCGGACCGAAATTCCAATTTTTACTCGTACTAACTCCACATGTGAGTGGCCAGCGTAATATGACGTCAGATTCCCAAAAATAGTCTCTTAAGCCTTTGAAAATCGATACCGAAATCCGGGCCCAATTCCGTGAACAAAACCCGCTAAACTTTCAATTTCAGAGTCTCTCACTAACGGGTGGCTGTTTAGAGGTTACGCGTATCGACCTAAGGCTATTCGTATCGTGATGGTCTCGATCATTGAGAGAATGAGAAATTATCATTAGTTCCAGAGGTCACAATCATTAGGTTCAAGTTCCGGACTTGGTTGACCACGTGCACTTTTGGTCTTGCAGAATCACCTGCGTCCCAATCGTACATCGTTGGCCTTGGCCAAACCAAATCCGTTACCTTTCCTAAGATCGGCTCACGTTGGCCCAAAATATTTCCTCAGCGTCTCTCGGGATCGGTATCCCTTTCGCGATAGGGTCCCCGGTCCACGTACCATCTTCTAGTTAGCCATACCCTATTGGTTAGTATCCCGAGAGTGATCAGCTCTGGGTGAGACTTACTAAAATGAAATGCGAAATAATATCAGTTTCATTGATCCCGGAAATTACATCGAAATTCGGGCTGTTACACCTTCCCTCGGCAATCAAAATTGGATTGCCTTTTAGTCTTCAAATCTCATTGAATGGTCACCTTAAAACTCAAAAATATCAATATTAGTTTAGCTCTTTGATCCACAGGATCACTTTGATTGGTAAGTGGAGAGCATACTTGCTTCACCAAAAACCAATATCCTTCAAATAACAATATGCCTAGAGAACGACAAAGTTTACAAGAACGTGATGGAGAAAATATGAACGTCTTCTAGGGAAAATTCACTGTCATTTTATTTGAAGTCTTTATTGCCTCTTATAACTTAAGGCAAGGGCATTTCATGAATTACATAAGGCCTTAAATGGCCAATTAATATGATCATTTTTCAATAATACATCTTGGGAATAGATTCCCTTATACAAGACGGACAGTTTTAAAGTGACACTAGCACAATAAACTAGGAAGATTCCTGCATATAATTACAAAGCACAAAGCTCACCCATTGACAAACTGGCAAAATTCCTTCACTTATTGATGGGTTCATAGCTAGATTACGGTCCTTGAATGAGTCACTACGTGTTATCTGGATAACATATATGTCTATCCAAAGTCCCATAGGTCTTGAGAGAAATCAATTGACTCCGGTTGATTATGCTCGTGTTCTTCTAGAGCCTAGTAGATTGCATCTCTTGTGGCCTCATTTGCTTGGAAATAATACCTCAGCATTACTTCCTCATATGCATTGGGCCAGAAGAATTTTGGAACAGTTTGATTGCATCCGCAGAAGATGCACCGGACTTCTCTATAATGTCCACCAATTTTTCGAAAACCGCATCCACAGGACCATCTAATAAGTGAACTTCAGGACTTGGGGCTCTGTATTTTAGCTTTGTGGAGAACAGACGTTGCCAGCAGGATGGAGGATGAAACCACTTTAATACCTCTTCAAAAGAGCTTGAGATGATGACTCAAGTATCCTTCGGTAAGAAAGCTAGTAGGTCAGGCGGTAGACAGGGAAACTCGACTCCGATTGTATAGTTATGGGTACTATCGATAGAACCACTTAAGTTCAACAGGGAAAGCCACAACATCGAAAGCGGCGACCATCTAATACCTAAGGCGTGACGCTTCAAAATAAATCAATTATTCGTATTAATGAAGGATTTATACTACTCAAGATTTTAGTCTGCATAAGCCAAACCTTTAAAATAACATAATTTTACCACCTCCATTAATTAAAAGCTGGTTAAGGTCACAAATAGTTTCATCATTATAATTATATGCCGTTGCCTCAGCCAACATCATTGATGGAATTTTCTGAAAGCTTTCTCGGTGATGATAAACATGCTACATGATCCACCGTTGACAGCCAAACATTATAATCTAGCGCCTTTTTTTGTGGAATTTAATGCCAAAATTGGTTGATAATGGACATCACCCTACATAGATAGCTTCTGTAAAGTCTCTTGTCGATGATATACAGTACCATTTTTACTTTCTTATATTCGATATTGAAAACTTTAACTTGCTTTCTACCACAATGAATTCGAAGATTTAATATTAATCAAAGTAGCGTTTTTATGAAGATCCCCACTTTTACTTCTTTTTCTTGCACACGTGACAGATAGTTAGCACCATATATCCAAGGAGAAGCATTGGCAGAGAGTTAGTTTATCATATAACGAGTAAAGGCTTAGTAGATTTGCAAGCGTTCATAGCCATAAATATGTAACTCTGTTCCGTGATGGTACATAGTGAATTTGAATGTGGTTGCAAACCCTCAAATATTGCTGGTACAAAAAAGTGACTGGAAACTTGCTTACCCTATCACGTGTCATTTAGTGTGGTTACCAACCGACATTCATCAAATTAAGATACCAACTAATTATAGTCACTTTTTTTTTATTCGTTTTGAGAAGTGCAGACATTTCTTTCTACTTCCAAGATTATCAGATGCTTTAATAATCTACCATCATTTATTATTGTGGCTATTGAACCTTTAAAGCAATTTGGCATGTCAATATGACCTATGTTGGTTTGTCAATCAAATTAAGGTTGGTAATTTCGAATGAAAGTTAGTAAATTCAAAGGTCTTTGTAAGCACAAGTATAAATGTTGGTATATTATTAAAACAGTTGGTCATCCTGGAAGTGTGAAGAAATGTTAGTATTTCTCAAACCGAAGAATAATAAAACATTGGTAAGTAACTAAAACTAGTTGGTATTTTAATGTGACGATTGTTGCTACATTGGTCAAATTAACAAATAATTGATTTGAGCTTTAGCGAAGAAAATATACATAAAGAAGAATCAATTGCAAAAAGAATGATCTCTAGGATTTCCGATTAATCAATTGCAAAAAGAATAACTCACCATTATCTTCCCTTTATCGGATAAACTTAAGACAAGCTGAATAGAGTAGATTCAAGATGACCAACCAGTTGATCGACCCAATCAGTTGCACTTGCTCTAATGTGATAATTACTATGATATCCACATATATGCTACGCCACCATAATTACAAAGAATTAGGAGGATCTCAACACTAATTCTCGGTTTTATATATGGCAAATGGCCACAAGCGATGCTAGTTGATGCATATCATAAATTGATTAGCTTTTTACCGGTTGACTTTTGTTGTCTTGTGCCCAAGAAAAAGCATATTCTTTTTTTAATTGGTTGATTATTAATATGAACATGAACTACCTAAAAACTTGACTACAATTAGAAACTCAATAAGGCAAACATGACCGTACCCCATTGAATATGAAATTCATTTCGGTTGGTGGTGTATGGAATTGAACATAGATCATGCGTCTAATCGATACGTGAAAGTTTCATTGTATTACTAGTAAGGCAAGATCATGTCATTGCCCAGTTAAAAATATTCATCCAAGTTGGACATACTACAGTCTACATCCTCGAGCAAACAGAAATCTGCACTTCCATAAAATTTTAACTTCGGTACACTCAAAGACAATACAGCTCCCAAATCTGATAAGCTCCACCAATAAACAGTAGGAGTAAACCATTTTCACATTATGTCGCTGATTTGAATCCAAAAGCTTTCTAAAGCTAAATTATGCTGCATCGAGAAAGACACTTATTAAAGATAAAATACACGCTTAGCAACCATTTAATGAACAAGAAGCAACCCAAATGCTCCTACCTTTGAAGTTTGAACGTGAAAGAACCAAATGAACCGGTGCAGTCAATGGAGACCTAGCGCAACCAAAACATCCAACACAACATGCCCAGATATATATATATATATATATCGACAACCTATTATTGTCATCTCCCACTACTAACTAGTGGCATGACATGGTTTTTCATGCTATCCGTGTACCCAGTGTTTGTGATCGCAATACTATCCATGTATACATCGGGCTTCTCTCCCAATAAACGAACCGTCTCTTCTGGATTCACATCGATACCACTGACCCATGGATGCTTAGCCATTGCTCTGAGTCCCTCCAATTCCATTTCTACTTCCTTCATGGTCGGCCTCTCCTCGCCTTTTATTTTTAAGCATCTCTTGGCAAGATTGGCAACTTCCCTCACCTGCGTATTGTTTCCTTCGTTTGCAATAACTTCCGCAACAATCTGAAACAATTTGTCATTTTTCAATGACGAAAGAAAGAACGTTGCCAAGCTCCGCTCTTCTTCCGGTCGGTCAAAAGAAAGCGCTTTCTTCCCTGTCAACAGCTCAACTAGCACAACCCCGAAGCTATAAACATCACTCTTTTCTGTCAATTGGCTTGTGTGAAAGTACTCAGGGTCTAAGTATCCCAATGTTCCTTGAACCATAGTGGACAATTGCATTTGATCAAGTGGCACTAATCTTGAAGCTCCAAAGTCGGAGACTTTCGCGGTGTAGTTAGCATCCAAAAGGATGTTTGCTGACTTGACATCTCGATGGATAATGGGAGTGGAAGCTGTGGAGTGCAAGTACGAGAGGACTCCAGCAGTTTCTGAAGCGATTCTCAATCGGGTCTCCCAAGACAGCTTTGATGATTTGTTTGGATCGTGGATGTGGTCAAAGAGAGCTCCATTGTTGACGAACTCGTACACCAATAATGGCACCTCTGTTTCCAAACAACATCCCAAAAGCTTGACCACGTTACGATTATTAATTTGAGAAAGCACAATGACTTCATTGACGAACTGTTCGATTTGGCTCTGGTCCACGAGCTTGGACTTCTTAATCGCAACTACCATAGCATTTGGCAACGACCCTTTGTAAACGGTACCGTATCCTCCTTGCCCGACTATTCTGCTCTCGTCATAATTGTCGGTGGCCTTCTCTAGCTCTTCAGCGCTGAAGATTCTCACAGATTTTGGGGTTCTGTCACGTTCATGTAATTGTTGTTGCAAAAGCAAGCCGCCATTTTGCTTGAAGTATTGTTCTTTGAGCCTGATGAGCTTCCTTTTCTTGTATCCGAAATACAGAAAGCCTATGCTGAAAAGCAGCACTATTATGCCCACAGCAACACCTATATACAACACCGGTTTTTCAGAATAATTAACCACGTGATTAACTTCACAGCGAATCACTGCACCATGTAAAAGCAGCCACGCATTTAAACTTTCTGTAGAATTATATCATGAGGTGGGGCAACAGAGGCGGTGATGGATGGAGCTTGTGGGCAGGGAGGGAGGGATAAGAGAGAAATCAAGATCATGATCTAGCGTGTGATTTTTCACAAAAAGTAAGTGTATTAAGATAAGATCATATTTTCATGATGTGGCTTAATATGAACCTATTATTGTTTAATTGCTCAATGATGATACATTTTTCATCATTTAGTTCTAGCTATGTTTTGCCACTCTCAAGGATGACGGTTCTCTCTCCACCTCAAGTTTTGTTTAGCCAACTTGAGGAAAGATTTAGTCATGTTGAGAGCACATACCTATTTTTCATCTTCCTTTTCTCATGGCTTTCTATTCCTTTTTTTTTCGAAATTTTTTTACTAAGATCCTTTTCTCTTTTTCATGTAGAGCCTCTTATTCCGTTTAAGATCTGGTGATTTAGTTGGTCACCTTACGCCAACTAACGAAAAGAAATTACTAGGACATTTTCCACTTAATTTTGATGAATGTAGCTCGTAAAACGAAAGAAAAGAAAAACATAAGATATGTTCTCCTTCATTTTACTATATTCTATAATGATTTATAAGGTTTGATCGTAATAAAGTACACAAAATGTCATAAATGCATTATGTTTTAAATTTTGAAATGTTGCACCACCACTGACGACGCTTTATCATAGGCGAGTGCAACATACTATAAATTATCAGAAAATGTAAAAAATTTTATATTAGAATTACGATAGTATACAAAAGATTTACTACATTATGTCATGAGTGCAAAACTTTATAAAATCTCAATTATTTAGTAATGATCATTGCTACATTTTATCGTAATCAAGTGAATGATATAAATTTCATTTTTATCGATTTATGAGATATAGACATTTCAGCATTTACCTTTACCAAAAAAAAAAAAGACAGTTCAGCATTTACTAATCATAAAATGTTGTAGAATGTGAATATTTTTGTTTTACGAGGTTGTAAACAAAATGCAAAATTATGTACATACAAAAAACTGATTATACTGCAACATTGTTCATAGAGGAAAGATGGGATGAAGATTGAGATTCAAGAGATGTAGTCAGGAAGAACGAAGAATAGTTTTTAATTTTCAGTTTATTCTCAGAGAATTGTCTTATTTTCTTTATAAAAAGCAGTTGAACAGACGGTAAACATTCGGTGGCCAATTTTTCTTGAAATTGTGGTAATGGCTCAGAATACATCTCAATTGTTGGAAAATGTATTCACATTCACCCAAAGCCAAGTCAAAAGATGCTTCACGAGTACAGACATTGACATGAGCGAAATTAATCTATTTTTGAAATTTAAAAAAGCTCACATGTGATGTAATTAGTAGCATGTGATGTACTCAATGCATCAGATATGTCATTTATCTTCCGCATAGAAACTTCAGTGAGAAGGATATAGAAAGTTTCATTTTGAATTTTTCCAAGCAAGGGAAATAGTGGAAGAAAAATCGGGCGAAATTGGAAATAGTTAATTTTCTATTAAACCACCAATAAATTAAATTATATATTCTCTAAATCAGCTGGGATATTATGTTTCTTGAGTCAGGCACTCCAGGTAAAACGAAAGAACTTACCAATCAAAATCTCCATCAAATGCGATGGATTAGGATTAGCAATGCATCCTTGCCCATCTCCACCGCCCTTCTTGCCATCACCGTGATAACCCTTTAGGCATGAACAAGTATAATTCCCAATAACATTATGGCAAATTTGCTCACACTGGTTCATCTCCGGATCCGCACATTCATCAATATCTACAAAAATTAAACACACACACATCAAATGTATCGAATCTTCTCAGATCATATCAATACAGAGGCCAAGTTAAAGAATGTCGAAGTTATCAACGTACCATGACAGCCATTCTTGAGATAAGGATTGCCTTGGTAACCATCTGGACAAGTGCACTTATACCCATATCCGTTTTCAGCGTCGGTGCAATTGGTGTTCTTGGTGCACTTGTAGGTCGTGGAGTTCTTCTTGGCCTCTTCACATGTTTGTTTCCCTATTGCCCAGTCGAGAACTAGAGCGGACTCGTTAAATTTGAGCTGCTTAAGGTCGCCGACCGAAAAGTTGTAGAAGTCAGTTTCGGCGACGAATGCATAGCTGCAAGGATTGAAACCCAGGACATCCGCATGTTTGAAAAAGCTCTCAATGGAGATGTTGTAGCCAAAGGAGTCCTTAGGGATGCTCGTCTGGCAGCAACCAATACCCGAACAAGACCCATCGCTGACGTCCGAAATATTGCTGCATGAAGACATACACCCGAAAGAGAACTTCCCATCGCGGTCAAGGAAGGAGGCCGACGTGTCACAACCAACAGCGGTGAACTTGTTCTTGGTGCTGGATATGGGGAATTCAGGTTGGGTGAGCCTCGGATACCTGCCCAAAGACCTAACTTGCCCGAAAGAGTCGTAGCAGTCTCGGCCTATGAAAACATTTACTCGCATCTCATGGTCGTTGACAGAAATGTTGAGTATTTGTAAGTTACTACTTCTTTTATTCATGTAAGGTATGGGAGGGTCGGTAGAGTTGTCACAATAGACAATAAACGATGGGCGATCGATGCGGCAGTCAGAACTGCTGTTGCTTGATCCAAAGGGGTATGGAATTTCAAGGTTTCCGCAGGTACTTTGGCATCCGGGCATCGTCATTGAGACATCAGCTTCCGCTTTGTGATTGTGGTATGGACCCAATATGATGGTCCCAACCACCACAACTTTTAAGAGAAGCTCATGGATGGCCATGGTTCTTCCTTCAACTCTCTTCATATATTTTTGTTGTTTCGGTGAATCAATTTGCTGGGTTCGCGGGTATATAAAGAGAAGTAAGATGGGGTTTTTTTTTTCTTTTTCGCTGTTTGTTGGTCAAGTAATTGTAGCTATTGTCTAAGTTCAAGTTGTGGAGTCAACATCACGCGGGCATAGCCACTTGCACGAGAAGATTCGACGATAATCCCTCGTGTGACGAAGTCTTGCGCAAAACAGTGCACGTCTCTTTGTCAAAGTTCGTAATGTAAATTCCATAAACTTTTCCTGAATCTTTCTTCGCAGCTCATCGAGAAGACAAGCTATTCTGAGCCGGAGACTGGATTGCTCTTGTCACAAAATAAGCTGCTCTTACTTTTCAAATAATCTCCGAATGATTAATCTAGGGTTCTAGCGTTTAAGAAAATATCCGTCCCTCCGTGGGAATATGAAAGGTCTGGTCTTCTCCTTTCCCTATCGGATGTTACTTCTGTTCATGGCAATTTTTTTCTTTTGGAGCGTTCATGTTAATGCAAAAACTAAAAGTCGATAGGGAAAGGACAAGACCAGACGCTTTCTATATTTGAGCATTTCCAAAACACAATATTGGACCGTAACTGCTAGTCGTCACACGGCAATGACTGATGAAAAAAGACAACTTGTTGACAAATTTCATCAGTTAATAATCTTAGAAATTTCTCCTTATAATATTCTTAGATTTCTATTCATAGACTATTTGAAAATCCGAATTGCCGACTTAATTGGATGACGCATTGATATATGATGTGTGTTCCAACTCATTAACTTATTAACTAGGGCTTCGACTCTCACCATCACAAACATCTACCAACTTTTTAATTAGGGCCCTTGGGTTTTGATTTCTTATAATAAAACAAAAGGTCGCTTGTTAATTTTCTAATAAAATTAAAATAAATTTTAAATTTTCAATCCTATATTAATTTTATATATTTGAGAACATTTTAAGAATTTCGTGTTTAATAAAAGTCCGGTAAAATTTTAAAAAGCTGAGAAAGCAAACAGTAAAAATCATTAGAAACATTGTATAGAATTCCACTTACCTCTCCGAAGAGACTTTAGTTTAGATTTGTCATTTTCTACTAAAGTTGAGACCCCAAATTCCTTGAACTGGCTTGCTTGCGAATAACAGCTTTAAAAAAAATGAAACGCATAGCTCCCAACTATTAACTAAACTAGCAAGATGGCGGTTGCACGGTTCTTAGACTATATTTGTTATATTACTCTAAATGTCATTGTCGACATGAATTTCTACAAAAGTAATTATTTGAGAAAAATCATAACAAGCTTCACATCAATCAAATTTTCCGATAGAGTTTACGTGGAATTTTATTAAAGAGAAACCACACCCCATCATGTAGGAGTATCTTTTGATTAAAAGAAAACATGAATCATATTGCAATAATTAATGAATTATAATATAAGTACACGCAACATTATCGGCAAGTAAAACTAACATGAGCCAATACAAACATAAAAATATCAAGTATGAATGTAAATCCCATCATTCGAAAGTTTTCCTCCATTTGTCAGAATCTTCACTTGTTGACTTGGTGTCCAAAAGGCGAGCAAGCTGTTTGTGTAGAATATGCGATAAGAGTAGAATGGTTCTCTCTTCGCCATCTGCTCATCTTTATTTATGGAGAGCTAGAGATAAAAAAATTATTCAAAATCATATTCCAATTCAATATATTTCAGTTTCCTTTTTCAATTCCTAATCTTTTTGGTAATCATTTGATGCCTATCCTTTTGTTTTGACAAGAGTTGATGGATATCTCTTCATCCATGACAATGTACCATGAAGAGTAATTGTGTCCGAATTTCGAATTAAACTCTCCCATTTTAGTTTTTTAAATAAGAAAAAGTAATTGTGGTTGTGGTTGTCCAAATAAGAAGTCCAAACACCTAGTTCACGTTGCATTAAGTGTTGAGTATTGACTAGACTAAGATAGGTCGCTTTCCTAGATAATTTGAGAGTTCTTAGGCTTAGAAAGGTCATTCCACTCAACATGGATGGAGAAAAATGTGCTCGAAAATTTTATTGGCAAGGTGTCTCCCCTTCTCAAATCATGCGACACTTCCACGCCTCGTAAGAGTCTCTATCACATGGCTAACGTGGCATTATGGACGACCCGAACCGGCTGACCCACCGAAGCAAGAAACTGTTGATTCGGGTAACTTCGGATTTGGATTTGGAAATCGAAACAGTACCAAATATAGAAGAAGAATTAGAATAAAATCCATGGTTTTTAGATCCGATCATTGCTAAGCAAAAGGACTTCGGGAGTCCGAAATTGATTTTGAGAATTTTTTTAGACTCGCCTGTAAAGTTTCAGGTAAATGCTAAGTCAATGCGGTCGGTTTCCTCGGCAATTTCTCGTGTACGACAATATGTCTCCGCAGGAGTCATTTTGCCCGCCAACTTTGGGTGCATCATTGGTAGAGAGTATCAATGAGGCAAGGTCCTTCCCTTTCATTATCTTGCCAGGACTTAAAAAAGTCAAGCAAGTACAAAGCGTATGCAGTGGGAGATCACAACCCTAAAACAAGAGAGTGTGAATGGAAGAAAAATCAACAAGAGCAGACTGGTTTGAGCTGGTGGTTGTGCGCACGAAATGTGTTTCATGGTGATTGGGTTTTATGCTCCTAAGCGTGAAATATCAATTGCATTCTGGAAAAAAAAATAACGTGTATCTTTAGAGTTATCAATCATCTAGTTCCAAAGGGGCAAAGAATAAACATTTTTCATTTCTAGATAAGATTTCATTATATACTTTTAAATTAAGACAAGATACGTCGAACATAGAAATTTTTTTTTTTGGTTACTGGGCTAGGGTTTCTAATTAAAAATATAGATTGTGGTAGATTCGTATTCATGGAGAATTATCATCCCAAGAAATTTATTTTTCCTTTCATCTGGTATCCGCGTTGAAAATTTTTTGTTGCATTTTCATAATTTTGAGGAAAATCCTATCTTGCTACCATCGCCGTAACAAAGAAACGCAATCATGGTTACCAAAAGTCATTTTGGAGACACCAAGTTAATTAAATTACCAGCATAATAGTGTGACTCATATTGGACCTTAGTGCAAGTGTGACGTACCACACGTGTGTTATACACCTTACTTAACTCTATTTATCATGTGAATATAAATCGAACCAATATAATTCCACTTTATCGGGCTATACTTTCATAATCATACAGGACAAGGAAGATTCTGTTTCGTTCAAATAATTAAGTACTTGGAAGATGGTCTAGGTAGGACTTCACCAGGATTTATTGTCAACAAAAATGCCAAGAATACCAAGAAAATAGGAAAATTATCCAAAAAATCTTAAACTTATTATAATTGTGTCAATTCTGTTCTAAACCTTTTTTTTTGTCAATTGAGTCTAAATATTTTGTATTTGTACCAATTCAGTCCATCCGGCCAATTTTAGCCGGAAATCGCTGACATGGACATCGACCGTCTTACGTGGCATGGCTGATCTTACATGGCGCAGCAGGCGCTGACATTGATATTTTTTAATAATATTTTAATTTTTTTCTTTTTTTTTCCTTTTTTTTCTTCCCTTCATCTTCATCCTCTAACCAGTTGCTAGATCTCAGAGACAAGCCAGAGGCGAGGGACGGTGAGACTAGCGAGGCTTGACCTTGCCGTTGTTGGCGAGGGCGTCCATGTTAGTGATTTCCGGCCAAAATTGGTCATATGGACTAAATTGTCAAAAAAAAGGTTTATGACTAAATTGGCACAATTGCAATAAGTTTTGAACTTTTTTAGTAATTCTCCTCCAAGAAAACCTATTGTCAGAGTAATTAAAATATTAAATCATGCATTTATCTAATAGCTTAAAATTTTAAAACAGTTAGTAATGATCCCACCAAATCTCACACCTATCATTGATTGTAGGTGCTAGACACAATTGAATCATTTTTACATTTCGCACGTGAACAATGGGGGTTTAGGTGACGCTTAGGTGACGACGTGTAAGAATATACGTTGCAAGTAGTATGGCTTTCGAAGTGTAGTAAGATTTTGACCCAAAAAAAAGTGTATGTAAGATGGCTTATTCAAAGAAGAGCCTATGCTCAGATCAACGCGGAGTCAATGCGGTCGTCTGTCCTCGACATTTTCTCATCTGACGATGTCTCATCAGAATGTGAGTGCGTACATTATCAATAATTGCAGATGATAAAGGATCATTTCGAGAGGATTGAGCTTTATCCAACACTTGGTGCAAAATTGCTTAGAGAATTAGTTCATCTATGCTGACAGAACTCGAAAGGTTACTTTCTCTAGATATTTGAGTAGGTTTTCGTCCTCCAATCTTCTTTTGTAATATATAATTGGAAATCCCCATGTGTTTAGTTTCAAATGAATCACAATTTATGTATTTTGGAGTTTTATAGAGGAGGTTATGCCCCAAACAGTCAATGCTGATAAAAAAAAAACCGAGAATGAGTCTTTTCTTTCTATGTTCTCGTTGAGTCCAATGCAATTAATTTGTCTTTATGATAAGTGTACTGAAAATCTTAAAACTTATCACAAAAATGCAATTGAATCCTAAAACTTTTAAAATGTGTAATTAAGTCTTAAAATATATCAAATTGGTGTAATCAAATTCTTTCGTTAATTCCGTCCAATTTAGCTAACGAAAAATTCCTATGTGGCATTGACGTAGCTAAAACAATGTCGTTTTGGTCAAAATCTGATTTTTTAATACAAATTTTATTTAAACTATATTAAAAATAAGCAAAATTTATTAAAAAAATAGAAAAGTAATTATGTGAAAAAAATCATAACAAACTAGCAAGATGGTGGTGCATTGCACGGGTACAAGACTATATTTGTTATATTATTTTAAGTGTTAGTGTCGACACAGATTTTCACAAAAGTAATTATTTGAAAAAAATCATAACAAACTTCACATCAATCAAATGTTTCAGTAGAGTTTACTAGGAAAATTATTAAATCAAATCCAAACCTCATCATTTAGGAGTATCTTTTGATTAAAAAAAACATGAATCATAAA